TAAAGCTGGGGAGTCGTCAACTGCGCATGTCTTTGTTTACAAACAAGCGTCTACCCATGATCCTTTGCGTTTTAGCGTGTGTTGTTATCGTCGCCTGGGACTCAATTTCCGCGCGTGCGCAGGTGGCAAGCACCCCGCTTTAAGTCCAGCTTTCTCAAAAAGTCAATTCTTCCCATTGTTCACTGTGATGTGAATGGTTTGAACGCGTCTTATTGATGCGTGCATAGAATAATCTCCATCGCATAATACCGTGAATGGTTTTCCATATCACCAAACGGTGTTTAACACTTTATTTCCTTTTTTTATTCTGTCCTACAAAACCACCGAAACAATCAAGGTATTCAATAATTTGTTATGTTAATATTAGAACTATTGGTTTATATAGATGAATATTTTTGTAGATAGCTTGGGCATATCACGTCTGATATTATACGTATTGTATAATATACACCATATTGCCCGGCCTCGTAACGCTGTAAGATACCTAATGAGCGAGCCGTGTAAACATTTTCAATATTACGACCATATTTTTGAAAACATATTCCTTTCCCAGATTCAGAGCAGCGCGCTCTCCGAACTGATTTTAGCCAGTTACCAGCGTTTCGCGATGCCGCAGATGTAAATAATAACTAGTTTGTATTGATCGATTACAGAATGGTCCCGTTATGTTAAGATATTTAGAACTGAATTATAACAACACCAGAAGTTCGAACAAATTGAATTTATTTTCAATGGCTTAAATAAAGTTTATGATAACACAATTATGGACTGGATATGTCCTTTGCGACGTCGCAAGTTAGGGTGCCCTCGTCACTTGACCCCAGGCCACAAAAGCCGTATCCAGGCCGTAAAAATTCATAAATCCACAAACAAAAATCCCAGTATCGGTCGTTAATGACGCTAAACTGTGTGATTACTTTTATACTTGCCGACAGTTATCTTGACTATAGGAGTTCATGAAATTTCATCTTGAATGCGAATATAATATACTGCATTAATTAATATACATTGACAATTATTGTGACGGGGTCATTGGATGTCATCAGATAACAATACGCTGTATATTTGACTTAATGACCCAAGATATTAACTTTTTATAACATAGTTTCCATTATTTCTTCTCCGCCACCCTTCGATGGTTCAGATCATTTGGTTGAATATATCACTTAAAGATGGCATCGCCGACGATTAGTAGTTCACCATCAAGTCATTCACGGCCAATTCCTAGCCGCCGTCTATCTAATGTCGTGTCACCGCATGGTACCTACAACACATCGTACGGAAGTTATTCCAGTTCCTTAACCATGTCGATGAAGGGGCCGTACCTGAGGCCAAGGCGAATATCGGCTCGTCAAGAGGAACACGGGGGCGATACCCCGGACATATATCGCAGACGCACGGGACGACATAGTTCAATTCGGACGTCATTTTCACACCCGCCACATGACATCACCCCGATCGAGAAAGTGCCTTCTCATGTTACGTATGAGCAGTTTACACCACATGAACCACCACACCGCTCTTTCTGGAAGTTGGTTTGCCTCAGCGCCATTGTCTTTGGCACACAGTATTGCTTCGCGACCGAGACGGCGTTAGCCACTCCAATTCTATTGAAGATCGGTCTACCGAAACAGCTATACAGTTTGAACTGGTTTATCGGGCCTGTTTTAGGGCTCATTTTCCAACCACTGCTAGGATCATTGAGTGATCGGTGTAGATGCAACTGGGGTCGTCGAAGACCATTTATACTTGCGCTGTGTATCGGTGTACTTATTGGACTCACGTTGGTTCTCAATGGAGCAGTTATAGGAAAGTTGGTGGAACATTCAGGTGAGTTCACTTTTTAAAATACCGTTTATAATAGTATCTATGGTTACACGTGCATGGCATAGCAATATCTACGCCCACGTGAAATAAAATGGTGCCTCTGCAGCGCGTGGCTGTAGTTTCGTAGCTCCGTGCTTTGATGCAGTTCGTTTCGTTTATCATCACTAGGTAAAATTAATTTCCCGTCTATGATGATTCTCTAAAAATTGGCAATTACTACACGGGAAACAGTGAAATGCTGATAAAGATTATTGGTTTCGGCAAGATGATAGTCGGCATCTTGAATGTGACGTCATAATTCGTAACTTTCGAAAAGTTTGTATATTACAATACGTGACAACTTTCTTTAAAATAATACAATGATAATTTTTTTTTACGAAAAAGTTTCAGTTTGCTCAGCATGGGACTTGTATGAGTTTGTACTGTATTTTCTACAACACTGCAGCCACCTCATAATATCATATAGAAGGCAAATTTTCAAAATACGTGGTATGTATTGTTTTTATGTGCACTTGACCGTATTTCTAACATATTAACCTTTAATTATTTTTCTAGACACTTATACCACATGGAGCATCGTTTTTACTATTATTGGTGTTGTCATACTGGATTTTAGCGCAGATAGTGTCGACTGCCCCCACCGAGCGTACATTGTAGATTCGTGCAATGCTGATGATATTGAACGTGGTATGAACATCCGGGCATTGTTGACAGGTCAGAATCACTTGTTGAATGAATTTAATTTAAATAATAACCATCATTAATATGTATAATCCGCAAAACAAATATAATAAAGAGTGGTGGCGCCGCGTACCAGCACACATCGCAATATCGGGGGGGGGGGGAACTCAATGTTTTTAAAGCTGTTATCGATTATATTGTGTTTCAGTTTTGACATCACAAAATGCATAATGGCGCCACATTCATAAATTTGGAATATTTATTGCATGGTTAAAATAATGTTAGTTGAATTACTGAATACATTAAAGCGGGGGAGTCGTCACCTGCGCATGCGTCAGATGGCCATAACGTGTCATTACATTTATTTATAAACAATCGTCTACCCATGAGCCTTTGCGTTTTAGCGTGTGTTGTTACCATCGCTTGGGACTCAATTCCCACGCGTGCGCAGGTGACGACCCTCCAGCTTTAAAATGAATACATCAAATTATAATTAAATTATGGTGCACCATATTACACTTTTTGTGAGTTATTTTGTTAATTTTAGACCTAGGCGATATAATTGCACATTGACTGTAAAAACAAGGTGAAATGTAACGCAAGTTTGATTTGACGATCACAATGTTAACCATACTATTGCCTTACTTATATATTAATCAAAGGACTCGGTGGTGGATTGGGATACATCATGGGTGGTATTGACTGGGACAGCACATTCTTCGGAGGGTGGTTTGGCTACAATGCACACATACGCGTCGTCTACATCTTCAACATGGTCGTGTGCGTCATCACATTCACCCTCACTCTATTCTCTGTGAAGGAAATCCCACTTTCCCAGGTATTATCACAGCACCTCGACAATAATATGACGGACGACGAACGGCCATTGCTGAGTGGTGGAGATCCAGGCAACATTCAAGATGGCGGATGCATACGTCCATATGGGAGTTTTTCGAATGGCGAGATATCCAAACAAACGGGTGATCATTCCAAGCAATCAAACCGTGACCATGCATCGATGATATCAACCCCCTTTGAAGATAAACTCATACAAGACGAACCGTTTACAGATACCTCAATATTGACTTTGCTGAAATCAATCGTGAAAATGCCAAGGGAACTTTTTATTCTATGCTGTAACCACTTTTTGAGTGAAATTGCATACCTGACGGTTTTGCTCTTCTTCACGGATTACATGGCCCAGCAGGTTTACAAAGGTAAGAACAGTGTAGTCATGGTAAATGTTGCCATGGTACAAAATCTTCATCAACGCTCAAAAATAAGTTCTATTGGAGTAAAGTGGCATAGAGAATACCTAGCCAAATTTAGGACATGTGTGAGTGAAAAAACTACATTCTGAGCCCCAAACGGTTTTGGGGGCCTAAGTGGTCTTGCTACATTTCAAGAATGTGTTTGTTCGTTCTTGCACAATTATATAAAGAGTATAGCCAATTGAATTTGACTTTGTATTGTAATAGGTGACCCGAACGCTCCAGAAGGTTCACCAGAACACCAGGCGTACGATGATGGTGTAAAGATGGGCTGTTGGGGCATGTGTATTTTTGCCTTCTCCGCAGCAATCTATTCAGGTAAGCTGTAACACTAGATGATTTCCAATGACAACCTCCGGTTGCCAAGTAACAAAATGATCGCCAATCTCCGTGATTATGACTATTATTTTTTTTAACCACCTTTGAACAAAATTGCTCCAGACATGTCTTAGAAATAACATCGGAATGGCGAACACATGGACAAATAATACATACGAACCCTTTACCATAATCCTAAAGCCAAATCTCAAATATCAAATTGCCCTGTTTTATGCAATGTACTACGCTAAGGTTAATAATCTCGTACACACCAGAAACGCTATTGTTCAATTATGTTGTGACACAAAATACGAGCTTTCTTCTAACTGTTACGTCATTTCTGTGGATTTGCTTATAGTAATTTTGGACAGACTGATAGGCCGACTCAGTTTACGAACACTATATGTCGGAGGTGAACTTATATTCGCCGTCGGCACCGGTCTTCAAGCGATCTTTCATAACAGCGTAGCAGCTACGTTAGTATTATGCTCCACCTTTGGCGTCATGTACACCACCATAGCAACGCTGCCATTTATAATTTTAGCTCGGTTTCATGAGAGTGAAGACGTAAGTAATCGAATCAATAATAAACAAAAACAATCACTCACTGCGGCAATTGACTTGTTGACTTTTCCGATAAATATCGCCCTCTTGCGAGAAAGCGCTTGTGTGACGTGAACTGTCAAAGGTGGGTGTAACTAACTCCAATCTTTTTATTTTTCAGTATGTAAATAGAGGCCGTGTTCAACGTGGACTAGCAACGGACACAGCGTGTTTGCAATGTCAGTTGTTCCTGGCACAGATTATTCTATCCGCCATCTTGGGACCAATATCCAATGCTGCCGGCACCCATCTTGTTACAGTTCTCACGGCTTCTGCAGCTGCATTCTGTGCAGCGTTCTTCTCGGCTCTGTTCGTCGTCTACGAAATCAACCCGAAGCCATCCGAACATTCGCAAAGTGTTCAGGGCTAATAATGTACGACGGCAGAAACGAAACAGTCGATGACCACACACTGGTGGTCGTCGCGCCGCGCATGCGTAGGAATTGTGAGTACAGTACTGCCAACAAAGATGGCGACGTCGAATGTTGTGCAAATCAACGCGTACAAAAGGAAACATTACCTAGGTTTAACTAGGTTATACATCAAATTTTTTAAAACGCATTCTAAGCAGTTAAAGCAAATGTTATATATAATCCATCTCTCTATATTCAATATGAACTTCATCCATACTAAATTTAACATCATAATAGTGACTGTATACATATTCGAAATTATGTATATTTTACGAAATCACACACACAATAAGACAGCGGTACATAATTTTATACACTTATACAAATACTACATGACAGTTCTTGTTTATTCGTGATGCATATATATTTCCGGTTTGTCTATTTCACTTTTTGTGAAATACAAGTACAGTTTACATTTGTGGCATCATATCATTAATAATCGCTGTCACGTACTTGGAACTATGTAGAGACCAGCTCGACTTAAAACGAACTGGTCTTCATTGTTTGAGCTCCATTATATACCATACATAATCTTTGATTGTATAATCGTTGTATACTAGAAATGTATGGAATTTTACTCTGAAACAAACAAAAATATGCTCTCATGCACCATTACGCATAGAATGTACAATAATATTATATAATGTGTTCCAATTATGGAATACGTTTAGGACTTATACTAATATTATACATGAAATACATCGAGCGTTTCTGTAATTTTGAACCAAAAATACCAGATGGTTCATTATGCGCCATGTCAGCAACGACATAATAATTTATGCACGAAATATGTGATAAT